ATGTTATGAATGTATCTTGTATTGCAACAAAATAGATCAAGTTAATAAATTGAACTTTTCTCTTTAACTAAACTGTTATTTTAGTGGCTTTTTTTATTACCATCGAGATGCAACTCATGAGATATGCAATAAGAACTCAGTAATCCCTTCTATTTAGACAAGAAGAAAGGGGGCTTAGGGGTTCGGGATTTAAGGAAATACAATTCAGCTTTGCTAGGGAAATGGTGGGCTCGTTTTGAGGATAATTCTGAAGGGCTGTGGAAGAAAATTCTAAATGCAAAATATTATAACGAAAGGAGAGGCGTAGTAGGTGCAGGCAATATTAGAAGGAGAAGATTATCGAAAGTATGGGAAGACATTGTTAAATTAGGGAATGTTGGTAGTGAAATGGGTGAGATAGTAGGTAATGCTTTTGTTTGGGAGATTGGAGAGGGTAATAGAATTGAATTTTGGAAGGATAATTGGCTAGGAAGGAGAAACCTTGGGTCATTGTTTCCAAGATTAAAAAATTTGGCAAAAAATGTAGATATAAAAATTGGTGAGATGGGGGAGTGGTGTGAGGGGGAATGGAGGTGGAAGACTGATTGGAAGAGGGATTTATCAAGAAGGGCTAGAGAGGATGAGAGATTACTACTAGAACAGATAGCAGGGGTAAGGATAAAAAAGGGTATTGAAGATAGGAGAATTTGGAAACATGATGGCAATGGAGAATATTCTATTAAGAAGGCCTATTCTATTTATATGATGATCAATGTGTGCTGGAAAATGACCTGTGCAAAGCAATTTAGAATAATCTTATGCCTGGAAGAATTTCCTTTTCTGCTTGGAGATTGTTTTTGGACAGACTCCCAACTAAAAGCAATCTAGATCAAAGAGGCATTCAAGTGGGAGTTACAAACAACCTTTGTGAAAGATGCAAGGAGGAGGCAGAGGATGTGAGGCACTGTATGCTTAACTGCAAGTTCACTTACCAGGTGTGAATGAAATGTCTAAAATGGTGAGGATTTTCTGCCATGCTACCTAATAATGTCCAGGACGCTTATAGGCAAATTGTTCTTGGAATGGGCAATAATAGAACAAGGAGGGTGTGGTCATTTATGTTTATGGTTATAGCATGGTTTTTATGGAATGCACGCAATAATCTTATTTTTAAAGACCAAGATGTTTCAATGGAAGCAGTACTCTAGAACATCCAAATTAGATCATTCTTGTGGCTTAAAGGAAGGGTTAAGGGCTTTTCATATTCATATTATGAATGGGAACATAATCCTGTAGACTGTGCAGCAACTATCTCGTAGACCAGGGAGTGGATTTGCTTGTGTTAAATATATAATTTGAGGATTGAGGTTGATATATTGATATTTCTTGATATAATGGGTTTGAGGTACCCTTGTACCTCATTAATAAATCATTTTTTGCTGATAAAAAAAAAAAAAAAAAAGCAATCCCTTCTCTTTACCTACACCTAATAAGTCTGTTACGTCTGCCATGTAAAAAGTTATTGAAGGTGACATTTTATTTTTTTTTTTTGGTACTAGACTTTATATTTTGGAATTAAAGTATTAAACAAAACTAAGCAATTGACAGAATCATTTCGTCGAGCATCTTGCAGGCATTTCCAGCAAGAGTTATATTTGAAACAATTTCGCGTCTAAAAATTACTCAAAATAAAAACAATAACAGATTATGTATCTAAATTAGGGTAAGTTGTAACTGCTTCTTCCAGATCCCTCAATCAGAAAAAACAATTTTGGAAAAAAGAAAAAAACACTAAGATTGAAAATCTAACCTTAATTTCAAACCTCCAGAATTGTTTCTGATTTCTCCGTTCTTAATTGTTGATGAACTTATTGAGGTGGCTTATCCAGCGGAATCCAGGGACAGTGCTCTTCAATTAAGAAGTAACATGAATGTCAGGTTTCTCAGAAAGTAACGACAGGGTTCCTCTTCCCTTTTTCGATTGAAGAGGGCACCTGGTGATGTTGCGCCAATAGTGCTCGAAAACTATTATAGGAACTTGTTTTGGTTCGAGGTGAATTTTATGGGAAAAGTTTTTATTAGAAAATTAATTTAAAAAGTATCGTATAGAGATTTAAAAAACATTATATAAAAGATTGATAAATTTTGTTGAAATTTTATTAAATTATTAATTTTTTTATATTTAATAAAAAATTAACATACTAAAAGTCAGTAAAAATTTTGTAAGCCCCACATGAAAAAAAAGTTAGAAGAAATCGTTTCCTTTAAAAAAGTGAGGACATTTGCTTTAGAAAAATAAAAATTACTTTTATTTATTTTTTATTATGGTATTAAGTTATGAAAATATACATAAAAAAAGGAATTGTTAAAAAAAATATAGAGGGTGCCTTGTGGTTGTGTTTTCTGTTCTTTTCTTTCAGTAAAGAAATGAAATTAAGTATTTCACCTAAACAATATAATTACTTAAAAGTGAACGTAAATTTTCAAGTGACTTTAAAAAAGAAAATGTAAGAATATTTTGTACATAAAAAACTTCTTTTTCTCCTCATCTTCCTTTCCCTTAATCTCTTCCATCGTCCCTCCTATCTCTTCCCCTTTCCCACGTATGTCAAAGAATATAATATCGATCAGCCAACTAATAGAAATTTCTCTATGCATCTCCCCTTCCGTCATTTCTTCTATTAATTGAGAAATTGAGATCAATTCCTGAAATTCTTAAGTTAACAGGGACAAACTTTGAAAAGTTCAAATTGGTGATGAGTAAATAATTTTCTTTTAAACTTAACTAAATTTGATCGTTAGGATTGACGTTTCATCTTTTTTCTTCTTTCACAATATTATATAACTTTAGATTGTGATGGTGTAATTAATTATGTTATAATTTAGTTTCCAAATTTCTTATAACTTATGTGCTTCCTCTATTCAAGTTAGGTTTGAAATTGTCGTTGTATCTTTGTCAAAGGTTGAGATCAATTTGTAGAGAGCTCAAGGATAAAATGCAACAGTTATATATATCTTAGAAAAGTAGTGTACGTATAATAGTGATAAACGAGTTTTATGTAATTGACAAAATGGAAATTGGATATCAATGTGAGAAGTCATAAAAATCAAAGATAAAAAAGGAAAAAAAAGAGTACACGCCCTCTGGCTACGGCTCGAGTATGAAATATGAATATTCAGTACTACAGCAGCGCAGCACGTGCATGGGATGAAGAGGTTCTGAATGACATAATCAAATAATAATATTATTACACGATTTTAAGGTTGTTGGATTATATAATGGCCAAAAAAAAATTAAATTTATTAATAATTAAATATCATTATATAAGTTAGATATATGGTTTATTTTTAAATTACAACTAACACTTAAAAAGATTTATTTCATCAAACTTGTGTATCTGACCTTAAAATTGTTTAAATTAATTAATTTTTAAATGTGCACAAATTATTTAAAAAACAACTTAATTATATGGACTCAGTCATCTACCTCAACTCTGTTGGACTTCTCATTATTGCGGTCTCGGCATGCGAGTATAATTTCATCAAATTTACCCATTTTTGCGAATGTCGAAAATCACGTTCTAGTAAAAATTTTGTTTACAACTATCATGAGATTTCAACAGAAAGCAAAACGCATAAATGACAACCGCCATACAAAACGCTAAGGCCTTTTTCTTTGATTTAAGGAAGAGTTGCATAACACTAATGATTTATTGATCTAAATAAAAGATATTTAATTTTTTAAAATAAAATCTTGAATTTGAATGATATAAATAAAAAAACATATATTTAAAGAGATTTTTTTTTATAAAATTTCATGTGATTACACTCTAAATTAAATAAGATCTAACATGATTTTTATATATCAAGAAATTAGTAAAAAAAAGTTACATGACAAGAAGTTGATCCACTTATATGATGCTTCATTTTTTGTTTTTTTTATGTTTTTCTTGTAATAAATTTGCCAACTTCTGCGGGCTAGTTTTTATAGTCGGACTTTTCCTACGTTGGACTTTTGTTGCGTCTAATAGCTAGTATGAAATTGCGTTTCTTTTTCGATCCTCCTAGCTTTCTTCTTATTTATTTGTTTTTTATTTTGATCGGCAAAGGAAATTCCTTCCCGGCATTGAAGTTTTCTGGACAACAATACTTTTCTTCCGCACATGCAAATTAATGTTGCAAATCTAAACGGATTTGCATTGATTGACTTAATCCTTTCCCTCAATTGCTATAAATAGTTGGTTCATTTGATCCCAATGCATCAACATATATTCCTCTCAAAAAGAGAACATCATGGAATTCCTTCATCCATTTTCAACAACTCTTGCAACCGGAATCTTGGCCCTTTTACTCTTTCTTTGGGGTTTCTTCGGGATATCAAGGCGACGAAATGCCCAAAACAAGAAAATGCCACCCCAAGCTGGAGGCTCTTGGCCTATTATTGGCCACCTCCACCTATTAGCAGGCCCAAAACCGCCCCACAAAATCTTCGGCGAAATGGCTGACAAGTATGGTCCTGTTTTCACTATCAAATTGGGTGTTCATCGCGCTTTGATCGTTAGTAGTTCAGAGATGGCCAAAGAATGCCTCACTACCAACGATAAAGCCTTTGCTACACGTCCCAAATCAATTGCCATGGATATCTTGGGCTACAACTACGCCATGTTTGCCTTCAGCCCTTATGGTCCCTATTGGCGCCATGCTCGCAAGGTTGCTACACTAGAGCTTTTATCAAACCACAGGCTCGAGATGTTCAAACCTGTTCGAGAAGCCGAGATGAGGACATGGATAAAAGAAATACATCAAACATGGGAGAATAACAAAGATAGTTCCCATAAAGCCTTGTTGGAGATGAAGAGATGGTTTGGTGACCTCACCTTGAATATAATTTTCAAGGTAGTTCTTGGTAAGCGATACGTGGATCATTCACAAAAAGATGAAGAGAAGGATCAATGGAAAGCCTCAGTACGAGAATTCATTGATTTCGTTGGAAAGTTCTTGATTTCTGATTCACTTCCATTTCTGAGGTGGTTGGACATCGGAGGACAAGAAAAGGCCATGAAGAAGACGGCTAGAGAGCTTGAACTTGTTGTTAAAGGATGGTTAGAAGAGCATAAGAAGAAAAGCGCTATCGGTAAGACAAATGAAGAAGAAGACTTCATGGATGTAATGCTATCAACTCTCAACAAGGCTGAGCTGCCCACTACAGATACTGATGCTGATACAGTCAATAAAGCTACGTGCTTGGTATATATTGTCTCATATAACCCTCTTATTTTTGAAATCATCCTCTTCTTTTTTTCTTTTTCTTGCTTGTCCTCACTGTGATGCCCCAATCTCACATTTAAAATGAATTATAATTGCATGTAAATGGTAGATACTACTAATTACTAGCTAATTTATTTAACTTTCACCATTTCCTTTGCTAATTGCTATATATGGCTATAAATATCTCTTGCAGGTTCTAATATTGGCGGGCTCAGATACGACAACGGTTACTTTAACATGGGCGCTTTCTCTTCTTCTCAACAACCCTGAAGCATTGAAAAAGGCTCAACATGAGCTAGACACCATCATAGGTAGAGAGAGGCAAGTGACTGAATCGGATATGAAGAACCTAACCTATCTTCACGCCATCATCAAGGAAACGCTACGTTTATACCCAGCCGGACCATTGCTAGTGCCCCATGAGTCCATGGAAGATTGCACAGTTGGTGGCTACCACATCCCGAAAGGCACAAGACTCTTTGTCAATGCCTCAAAGATCCAAAGGAACTCTCGAGTCTGGCCAGATCCCCACGAGTTTCGACCCGAAAGGTTTCTGACGAGCCACAAAGATGTTGATGTTAGGGGGCAAAGCTTTGAATTGATACCATTTGGAAGTGGGAGAAGAATGTGCCCAGGAATATCTTTTGCTCTTCACGTTTTGCAACTCACTCTTGCTACTTTCCTGCATGGATTTGAGGTTGCAGTTGTCGGGAATGAAGAGGTTGATATGACAGAAGGTTCAGGGATAGCGAACCTTAAAGCCACTCCACTTGAAATCCTCTTATCTCCTCGTCTTCCTCGTCAGCTATATGGATGAATCAACATCGGGAAGCTTCGAAGCCTTTAATTAAATGTCTTTAGTTTGCTACATAGTACTATATACTTGAATGTCGATTGATAACCAGAGCCAATATTTGGCCATTTGTTTTTAGTTATTCTGCTTTGCATGCATCATATATTTCAATAAATCTTTATCAATAAATCTATATATGTATATGAAAATTGTACTTATCTACTTTGT